GCATCAGTGCTTAAGATATTGTCCTACAGTTAGCTGTCACCATTGAGAGAACTGGGTGAAGGGTTCATGGCATTCTGTCTACGACAACTTTTTTTGATTTATAAAAGTTTTGTAAAAATCTACTTTATAGGAAGCAAAATGAAAAAAAAATTAAGTAAAAGAAAGCAAAGTGAGATTTTAATTAATGAACAAAGGCAATAATGAGGTATAATGTTTAAAGAATGATAAATTGGAAGTCGAGAGATCTGGATTCTGATCCTATCTCTAGCCAGTCTCTTAACGTCTATGCTTTTATTTTTCGCTTGTGGAAAATTGTGGTAGAAGATTCTAAGATCCCTCAGCGCTCTGATAGTTCCTAGAATGTCTAGATTTTTATAAATCTCTAAGTTGGTGAAATATAGAATCTGTGCGGAAGGTATGGTTGACATAGTTCAGATGTTGTTCATTCAACATAGTTCAGAAGTTAGGGCTTTTCTCACCTCAACAGGCAAGAAAGTCTCGTTTCTGTCTTTCTGTGTGCCTGCCTACCACTACTTTAGACACCATGGTGATCCAATAGAACCCAGATCCTTGAGGTAGGTAGTCGTGGGTGTTGGGATCCCCGTGCATGTGAGCTTCAAACTGAAGACCCATTGCCATGTAGTTGACTCTGACTCGTGATGGCCCTACATAGAGTGTCCAAGGCTCTACACCTTAATGGGAGTCAGACACGCATCCTCAGCAGAGCAGCTGGTGAACTTGAACTGCCGACTTGTAGTTAGCAGTCCAGCACTTGCCCCGGAGCACTACCAGTGTTCCTTATACACACAGGCTGGATTACAAACTAATGCTTGTTTCCCTGCCAGAATGGACAGTGTGGACAGTAGTTGCTGGAAGAATTCAGAAAGGGAGATCATTGTGCACTGCTGGATCTAAGGAGAAAGTGTGCTTTCAGAGTCGTATGAATCTCCTGGTTTTATCAGTAACTGTGTCTCGCAGTAGTATGTTCAAGGACTGGATTGTGCATCTCATAAGCATTTTGAGATCACACTAGATGTCTATCTCTTCTCCGTCTACCCTCCCTGCTAATTCTCTGTAGACTTATTCCGTAAGTTAAGCTGTTGGGCTGGTAGATGGTGAATCATCTGGATTTACATGATGTTTTCTCCTTGTCTCCTTTCTCTCTCTGGTCCCTCCTTCCCTCTCCAACGACTCCAGCTGAAAAGAGGAAGGGCGGGCAGACTGGGGACTCTAGCCTGCCACTTCTCAGCGTGCCCGACCCTTTCGTTCCTCTCCCAGTACCTGACGCTCCAGGTAGGTAAAGAAGACTGGTCTGGACGCAAGCAGCCTAATTTGTGGGTCCTGGGCCCTTTAGAGAGTTCTATGGAATTGATTAAGGAAAAAAAAAAAAAGAGTTCTATGGAAAAGGCCGATATTTCAAACTCTACTGACAGGTACTTTTGTGTGTTTTTCATGTGTCCTAGTAGGAGGGGCAAGCTTGTCTTTGAGGGCCCCAGCCTTGAACAAAATTGATAAAACACATGTAGGCCATGCCGGGTGATCCCATTTCTCTGCCTGCCGTGCCCCCCCCCACCACCACCACCACCATGCACCCACGGCAGTGTATTGGGAAGAACACTAGTCCAGTGTGAGTATAACCGAGCGAGGGAGGGGGTGGGGACCCTGTAAGTATATGCAAAAGGACCAGAATGCTATTAATAGTGCGAATGCTGCTGCTGGTGGGTTTATGAGTGGCTTCCTTTCGGTCATTTGTTTTCCTGTTCTATACTTTTATATTATAATATAAAACAATTAGTAAAAGGTGTTTAAAAGCATAATCAACAGTCAAAAGGACGACATTGAGCTCAAAAGGATGACATTGATCCTTGGACAAAGTTCAGAAGGC